GCAGCAGCAGGTGTCATCTGGCCTTGGCAGTGGCTGCGCTAGGCTCTGCCCTTGTTTGGAGACCGCTCGGTCCTCCTGCCTGGGCTGGGGGTCTCCCTTGAGGGTGGGGGGCTGTCATGAGGTCGCTGGGTCTCTGCCCCCATGCCCCCAGTTGGGGGCTTGAGGCTCCGGCCTGTGTCTTTCTCCCTGTGCGTCACCCCTGCTCCATCCCAAACCCCAGTGACGTTCCAGCGGCTGGTTTGGGGGGCCCCGTCGGCAGCCGGGTGGGGTGTCAGGGCTGGGGATGGGCAACCTGATGTGGCCCCGCTCCCCCCAGGTGTGGCCGAGGCACGTGGAAGATGTCGTCCACTTCGCAGAAGCACCGCGACTTTGTGGCTGAGCCCATGGGCGAGAAGCCGGTGGGCAGCCTGGCTGGCATTGGTGAGGTCCTGGGCAAGAAGCTGGCAGAGAAAGGCTTTGACAAGGTGTGTGTGGTGGGGCAGGGGTCCGGATGCCTGGGTTTGTGGCTCAATAGGCTTCCAGTGCCCAGGTACCATAAGTTCTCATGTATAACGCTTCCTCAGATAAAATTCTTGCTCCTCTGTATAGCAACGTTCCTCAGCTTTTCCATCCAAGTAGCTGGATTGGCAGTATCCACTCCCTCCAGGGGCCAGATTTGGCCAATGGACCCGATTCTGCCTCCAAGACAGCCATTGGGGGGGGTCCCATCCAACCATGCAGAGGGGGTTGGGCACAACCTGGCTGTGCTTCTGCCATGTGTGGGGAAGGGCATGTCTCTTGGGTCATGCTGACCAGGTTTTGAGCCAGCCCCCATGGCCAGACCTCCCTCTGACCATGGGGGCACATGGTCCAGCTCTGAACTACCATGTGGAGCTTAGGATTTGGGCAGTGGGGAGCAGTGGCAGTGCAGTAGTGACTGCTCCCCCAGTGCCAAATTTCCCCAGCCTTGGAGAGCCCCATGGGCAGGATATAGCCACTGGCTTGGAGGCTGAACACCCCTGCACTGTACCATACTCTCTCGTGTATAATGCAGCCTGGAATATAACCTGCTTTTCTTTTTGTTTTTTAAACGCTCTAACAAAGAATAGCCCCCAGGTCTTGACTGTTCCCAGCCAGCAGCTAGGAAGCCCTGCCTCCAGCTCCCATCCTCCTCTTGCAACCAGCCGCAAAAAAAAGTTTTACCATATATTCCTGCTTATAATGCGCCTCTTCATTTTCAGTTGCCTTAAGCAGCCAACCCCGCCCCCACCCTCTTTACTATATTTACCCAATTATAATATATACCCCTCAATTTCCAGCCACTTGAGTTGAGGGGGTGGAGTGCATGTTGTATGTTGGAAAATGCAGCAACTCCCATGTTTCGTTGCCCCCTTCTCAGGCCTATGTGGTTCTTGGCCAGTTCCTGGTGCTGAGGAAGGATGAGGAGCTTTTCCGCGAGTGGCTGAAGGACACGTGTGGGGCCAATGCGAAGCAATCGCGGGACTGCTCTGGCTGCCTCCGGGAATGGTGTGACGCCTTCTTGTGAGGAGCAGATGCCACTAGCTCCTGGCCTCGGGCTCTATCAGGCCCTTGTAGTTCTCACTGGGGGGAGGGGACGGGAGGGAACCATGGCCTTTGTACCACATTCAGAATAAATTCACTCCTTATCACACCCCTTTGTGCATAAAACCAACCCATTTTTCTCCCCCCCCTCCAAGAGCTTGCTCTCTAGCTAGAAAAGGGGGTTGGAAGAAAAACAACCCAGCCAACCATCAGCTGGAAGCTGTAGTAAATTTCCCCCCTGCCCTGATGTCTTTCCCAGTGGGATTTTGTGTCCTTCGAGCCCAAACTTGGGGAGTTTTAATCTTTTCCCAGCTTATTCCCAGAGAGGTGATGCTGGGGGGAAGCTTTTTAGCCCTTTCTCTGGGGCTGTTTTAGGCCATGGGCGGTAAGGGGGGAGGTGGGAGTATTTGGTGGTGGGAGGGACAAAACTATCATTGTAAAGGTCTTTTTGTAAAGGAACAATAAACGTTTGACTGCGTGAACGTTTCTGGGCCCTGGGCTGGTCCCTTGCGGGGGGTGGGGTCTGGCAGGGATGGGAGTGGACTGATCCGCTTTGGGCTGGGGGGCAGTATATATGCCATCTGCACATGCATGCATACATACACATATATATATATAAAATGGGGATAAATGCTGTGTACTGATCACCCCATGAAATATTTATTGTGTGTCCCCACTTCCCCCTGCAAATATACCATATATATTTGCAAAAGGAAGAGATATACAATCTATACTTGGAGGGGTTGAGGGGATATGCACCATATTTGCTTGCCTATAATGCACATTTTTTGTCTGTATATATATGTATATGTATATATGTGTATGTATATATATGGCGTATATTCCCACACCCACACAAATATACCATATATATTGGGGTGGGGTTATATGCCATGTTTCCTTGCTTGTGATGCACATATTTTCTCTACCTATATCATGTCTATCCCTTGCAAATATATATGGTATATATCCCCCCCACCAGCCCCCAAGTGGGTGGGTGGATGCGTGGAGCATAGGGTGGATGGATGATGGACAGACATGCCTATTTAATTTAGAAACACTTGAGGGGGACTGAGCACTGGTGAGATGTGCCCCCCTGAGAGAAGCGCTGGTGACATTTCCAGGTTTGCTGCTGGCACTTTTGCCAGTGATGGTGGTTGGCTGCTGGGGGATCCCTGGCCTGGTCAGCAGTTGGCTGCTAGTGTCCCCCCGCAGTATTAGGAGGCACCAGTCCCCCATGGGACAGAGAGGTTTCCAAAGTACTAAATGGCAAAGAGAAAATCCAGAGGGATTAATAATGGACGGTCTCTCTCCAGACCAGAACCAAGAATCTTGCCATGACATAAGCAGGTCCTCAGTTTAAATCAACACTAAGACATTCTTTTTCACCCCAGCATTTAATTGCAGGGTGGGGCTTGTTACCACCAGATGCAGTGGAAGCTGGGGCCGTTTATGCACATACCTTCTCGTCCTGCGACGTGTTGGAGATCTGGCAGGTCAGAGCACTTGATTAATTGAGTCTTCTCCGCATGCGAGCTTATGTGCACTACGCTGCATCTCATGGAGTTGTATAAGCAGCAAAATGCACATCAGCACGTAGAAAGTGGTGGCGGTGAGCTAAAGTGCCTCCGATGTGTTTTAGTTCACAAGTTCACTGCCACCATGTCTTGTGTGCTGATGGCATTTCGCCACTTTTCAGTGTCCAGCACTGCAGCACAAGCACGTGTATGGATGCCCTGAGAGCTTAGCCAGATCCACCAAGGGTGGAAAGGGGATCAGGTGCTGTACAGTGTGGGAATGAGGGGCACGGCCTCTGCACTGGAACTTCCTGGGCCTTCAGTGCTGGAGACTGCAGATGAGAGGAATGGAAAAATCCCTGGTCTAACCTAGTTACTCTCCCTTCCAGCATCTGCTGTCTGCTGCGGTGGGGCACAGGAGACTGTCCCAGTCTGACCTAGAGTCTGCCCCAGTCCATGGTATATCTCTTACATGCAACAGCTGCTGTGCGAGCCCCTGACATGTCAGTGGGCTTTTAATCCCCAGCAATGCCACCTCTCACAAAACAGTTGCAAGACTCCTGATTCAAATCAAATTAACCCCAACTCACGATCTCAGGATACAACCTTCGAATCTTGGGATTGTCCTTCCGGTGTGTGTAGAGAGTGCCCAGCTGGTAAGTCTGTGGATGGGAAGGGGCCAGGGGGAAAGGGAAGAGGTGGATGGGGGCAGACAGAGGCCCATACAGTGAGGGAGGGAGTGAGGCAGGGGCTGGGGTGGGTCATGTGGCGGGCAGCTCATCTAGAGCATGGGGGGGGGGGGCGCAGCTTCCTGCTGTAGTGCGCACCCCCAGGGGAGGCTTGGGAGGGCTTGTGTCCACTGTGGGGCAGAGGCAGGCTGCTTGCTGCAGGTTGGGGCTCTGCACCCTGCTGGCTTTGCCCTGGGGGCTCAGCCGTGCCATACCATTGCGTGTTGGGTGGGCAGGGGGCAAGGGGTGTGTTGGCTGTATGGAACGTCGCTTGCCTGCCCGATGGCAGGAAGCACACTGGTGTGAGGCTGAACTCTCAGGGAAAAGGCAGCAGGGTGCAGAACCCCAGCCCTCAGCAGGCAGGCTGCTCTGCCCCTCAGGGGGCACATGACCCCCCATGCCTCCCCCAGGGGTGTGCACTGCTGTGGGGAGCCACACCTGCTGTGCCTCTGGATGACCCATCCTGTCCCTGCCCCACTCCCCCTCTCACTGTGGGGGCCTTCATCTGCTCCCCCTTGCCCCTTCCCTCTTGCCCCCCACTTCCCCTCCACTTAGCTTGGTGCTATCTGTGTCTTTGTCTGTCTGTCTGCCCCTCCCTCCTAAGCCACAGCCCCCCCAGCCCTGCTGCTGCCCCTCACTCCTGATCCACAGCACCCCGCATCCCACTGGGGTGTACAGGGATGCCCCCTCTCCAGGCTGCACACACCCACAGCCCTACCCGCGACACCTTCACAAATAACACCCCCATACACACACACTGCAAAAAAGCATCTCATGATTTACATGCCAATCTCTTGCTTTTTTTTAAGAGCATGTCTTGTGGTTTTTGGCATTGTGGGGTTGGCAACACTGAATCATCCTGCAGAGGCATTGGTTGTTGGCTACAGCCAGGCCGGGGTGGTGACTGGGCTGGGCCAATGCTTGTGCTGGGACTCAACCCTGGAGGGTCCTGGCTAGAGGGTCTTGCCCTTGGGATCAGAGTGATGCTGCACTGGGATCGGGAGGGAATTTCCCCCCAGTCAGATTGGGCTGGGCTGGAGGGAGTGGGGTGCGGGTGGGGGTGCCTTCTCCTGTAGCCAGCTCTGCCTCTGCCTGGGATCTCTGGAGCCTCTATTAACACCCAGTGACAACAGCAGGGCATCGGCTGCTGGGATCCCCCAGCTTTCTCAGTGTCAGATCAGGGTGTGATGCCTGGTGCGGTGTCAGGGCTGATGGTCCTTTCATGAAGGGTTTGTATGATGGATTTTGCTGGTGGATCCCTCCTTTGGCAGGGGGCTGGACTGGGTGGGACCCCCGGAGCTCCCCTCCAGGCCCATGCCTCTGGGATTCTGATCAAGGTTTTGGCGCCTGCTCTCTCCCCTCGTTTCACAGCCTAGAGCCTCTTCAGCGCTTTGCAAAATTCTAGTGACACGCACATGGCAGCTGTCACAGACAGCATCGCTCGTGCATGCAGCAGCTAACAGTGGTTAACATGGTGCAGTAGTTATTTGCTAGGTTAGCAGCACAGTTGGCAGCAGCATTATTAGCAATGTCAGCAGCTGCACTCTTGGATCTGTCTAGTGGGCAGCAGCAGTGCCATCCCCGCCTCTTGTCAGTGCTGCAGTGAGTACTGACGAGCCCAATTCATTACGTCTTTAACCCTCTTCCCAACCCCCAGCCCAGCCCTCCTGGCATCCAGATGGGGCAGCGTGGTGGAGTGAAAGGCATTCGGGGTATCCTTCTCATCAGACACGCTGGCAGTATAGGGGACAGGACACATGGAGACTGGCAGCCTCCACCCCAAGAAAGCCAGGGGGAGGGGGCTGTGCTGTTATGGCCCCTGGCACCTGCTGCCTGAATGGTAGGAGGAGGGAGTCTCCATGTCCTGTTAGCACTATGGACACATGGAGGATGACGGAGAAGAATGGTGGGGTAGTAAGGGGGGTCATAGAGAGCAGGGGCTAGGGCGCAGTAGGAAACAATGGAGTTAGGGGGTAATAGAAGGCAAGGGTGGGGTAATAAGGAGCAGGGGTAATAAGGGGTAGGGGCAATGGTGGGGCAATAGGGGGCCATGGGGGGCGGTGGTGGGGGCAATAGGGCCTATGGGGCAAGGGCAAGATAGAGTCGACTCCAAGAGGGTAGGCGAGGAGGGCGGAGTCCTCCAGAGCAGACGAGCGGCGGTTCTCCCTCCGGAGAGCGGACCCCGCCCCTGGCAGCGCCGGAAGTGCCCCCGCGGATCATAAGCGGGCCGCACCGGCAGCGGCGCTCAGTCGGCGGCGGGATGGCGTGGGTAGCGGAGCTCTCGCTGCTGCTGCTGGCGGCAGCC